TTTTTAAATGTAAATATGCATTTTTTTTTTTTTTGTGAACAAAACATTAATAAAATGACTTTGAAATCAAATGGATGAAAATGATTATCAAAATATTAATGAAAAAATATTTTTTAAAATGTAAATCTGCATCGTCTCAAGTCAGGTATGAATTATTCAAAAATCAAGATCAAAATATTGGATTTTTACAAGATTTGATTGTGCCCCTAACCTAAAATGTTTGCGTCTGCCCCTAATTAGAACCCAGGCACATATGTATAGGCATCTGCATCCACTTCTGGGCTTGTTAATTTACTCACCAACCAGAGAGATAAAAGAACAAGCTTATGTTCTGGCACAGGTAGCCATGTTAAGTACTGGTGCATTTGACAATAACAGAAGGGAAATTTGTGCTTGGTTCTTCTTTATACCAGGCTATAACAGCAACAGTATTTATGTAGAAGAACCAGACGTTGAAATCTTCCAAAAGTTGTCTTCAACTATTGTTTCTTTTTTATGTGATGCTGTTTCGACTATTGGAAATAACTTAATTTAAATACATGGTCCTCGCACCTATGATTCAGATTCTCAGAAGGTGGTAAAGGTAATTGAAAGTTTGTACATTGTATTTACTCACAAAATTTTTACCTGAAGCTACAGTTTCTTTTATCAAACTGTTCTCATTAGTGATCAATTGTTTCTGTGTAAAAATTTCTCCTGCAATTTTTGTTTAATGTTGCGAATGAGTATAGAGATAAAATATGGATCAGAGCTAGTGATCAAATGAATTTCCTCAAGTAGATGAATGAAGCAAGGGAACTCAAGAAATTAGTGTAGAGAGAATTTGTAATGATCGAGGACGTGTGGACCAAGGATAAGTGGAGAATTTGTAACAATCCATCTACGTGGTTTACAATTAAATGTAAAATTATGTGATTTATTTAATTGTAAATTTTATTTAGCACTTAATGTCACCTAAATTGGCTATATAACGTAATAGTGTTAAATAACATTTTTCTATTCAATTGCTTATTTTTTGAATAAAATAAATTTTATTTACCTAGATTCATAATTTTTTACTACTTTTTAACCCCAAATTTTCTTTAAAAAAATCACTTTTCACCAAATTTATTTTTAAAAATTCCAAACCAACATGCTTCAAGAGAAAAACAACCAAGTAGGAGAGAGTACTAAATAAATATCAATCATGCTACATATACACCATCATTTACATCTTTCTTTACATTGTGATTTATGACAAAATATCATTGGACATCTTTAAAAAAATAGTTTTTCCACCCACAATTTTTCAAAAAACAAAGGCAATATAAACAACATTGTCAACCAAAGAATGTATATTTAGCATTGTTCAATGAATAAATCATTATTTGTAAACAATAAGCTCCTGTTTGGTGGGAATTGAAATCAGTTTTTAAGTAGATTTTGATAAAAGTTGATGAAATGTGTGGTTAAAAAGTTGTGAAACCTATAAAATATGTAGTTGAAATGAATTGTTGATTTTGATTTCAAAATCTAGATTTTAATTGGTATCAAATGGAGGCTAAATTAGAAATCTACATAGCATTTCACAATTATGACGTCATCAAGTTGCAGCATAAATAACTACGCTCTCTTCCCGTTCTCGTAGGTCACATGTCGGAATGTTTGCTCAACTAACTTCATAATATTCATGAGTTTTAAAAATGAAACTGTATGCTATATAAATTTGTGAAATATGGTAATTTGGCTCCTAAATCGTGCTATTCCTAAACAATATGTTTAATTATTTTACTTTCTATTTTTCATGAAAGTTAATATATTTTAAATTTATTCATTTTTCTATTTTCAAAATATTTATAATATTTTTTTTTTTTTCAAATTGCAAAGAATAGGTTAAGATCCGTTTGATTTGTATTTCAGTTTTGAGTTCATTTTCAGTTTTCTATTTTAAAATTCTTTCAAAAACATTTAATTTGTGTTTTGGTTTATATTTTGAGTTTTGAGTTTGTTTTCAATTTTCTATTTTGAAAGGAAATTAACCAATTAACACCATTTACAATATGTAAAAACATCCGTTACATCAAAAGATCCATAGACCATATAGTATACAATTAATTACGAAATTAAGATAATTTTTTTAATATTCTTAAAATACTTAACTCATAAAAACAGAAACTGCATAAAATATTGATTATAAGATTATAAGAATGACCACTTTCATGATTTGGACTAAGCTTCAAATCCCTGAAGTTGTATATCTGAAAAATTAGAAAAAAATTGTAGTATCATCGTCAAAATTAGTCACTAAAGATATCATTTTCGCTAGCTAAGCAGATACTTTTAATTTTTAGCTCATGTTTGAGCCACATTAAAATTTTTATTCTCGTTCTTCTACTCATTTTCAGCCATTTATTCTTCAATAAAATAATATTTTTCATCACATCAATCACTTTTCCTTCTTTTTCAACAACGCATTCTCCATCAATCTACTATTTTAAAATACATTATTCTAAAAGAATGTGGCTCAAACACAATCTTAAGTGCATATTGGCACACAAGACCAAAGAGTAAACAACAAATTTAAATAATATAAATAAGTTAAAATCTTGTTCAAAATATTTTCTAGTCTTTCGAATACTATACAATCCCATCCAGTGCTACTGACCCCAAAGGCTGTACTAGTATTAGTATATGATAATTTTTTTTGTTAGCAGAGAGAACCTTACCTTCCCTAGTTAGGCTTCGGTATTTTCTTGTATTCATAATTATCTATATCAACCTTCAGCTGCAAAGTCTGTAAAAGAACATATTTTCAATTAAGCTCCAGAAGCAAATTCATTTGGCTAAGCTTAAGAAGTAAAAAGTCTCCAAACTTACTCTTTTCTTTCTTTTAATTATTTTTAAAAGTAACTCTTACTTTAGTGTCAAAAATAAGTTACTTACTTATTCCAACTTTAACCAATTAAAATATTATTTTAGATATAAGTGATCTTTTCAAGCTTGGCTGAACATGCTCATATACCTTCAGCTCTTCCTCCAGTGAAATCTTTTTGGGCTTGTAGGCATCCACAGGTCCTGTTCTTGATAGTGCTTTTCTCGTCTCAATAATCTCCCACTCCTGGTCGTCCTTCACTTTAGCGATATCCTTGCTGAACTACAAAATTACACTCCATTAAAGTGAAAAATAAAAACCTACAGAAGAGCACAATGCATATCTTCATTATGATGTATGAGTCCCCTATATAATCACATCCCTTTCTATATCCGCAGAAAAAAAGTGTTAGAAAAACGACTTAGGGTGTTATAAGATGAGCAACCACACTGAATTAGAATGCCATACTTATTTGCCTATGAATTATTCATTTTCTGTAGTGGCTTAGATAACAGACGGTATCTTTGTATATAGAGTGTGTACATATGCTATTGCTAAAAATATAGTTCCTTCCTTCTTCTTATAATTCTTTGTGCACAGCTTCACCTTTACACAATAAAATATTTTACACACAAACCAATAAAATTTCTTTAAATTTTAACCACACATTCCCCAAAAAATACTATTCAAAACTATATTGTTTCTCCCATAATGGGAGACAAACAGGGGCTTAAAAGGGACCACTCTCACACTACCATTGCTGTCGACGTTGATTGCATGGAAGTATGCATCAATAGCAAGAATGATCATATTATGCTATAGCATATTTACGTAATAAAATGAAATGGGAAGCCACATGCTTGATAATGGTCATTTTTGATTTTCCATTTGGACGTTTTCTTGAAATATAAAAACTTTGCTTTAGTTGTTGTGCTTGTTGCATTCATCAATGTCTATAATAATAATCTTCTTACTAAGTTTCTATTCACTACAAGTAATATTAAGACATCTGAACTCGAAAACTTACATAGCCATTCTCATGAAGACAATAAATAAATCCAAGCAGACTCCTTCATCGTTCAACATATATCCACGATATTTGATGCATGATTGTTAAAGTTTGCACTACTAACAGGCCAACAATATAACCAATTCTCAGTGGAGTGCACAGCATGATTCTTGGCTATCCACACGGCTGATTGTCCTTGATAGATTATATTAGTTAAGCCAGCTGGCTATAGGTTGTTATGGTAGAATATTCTGTTGCTCATTGTGTATATAAGGAAATCATTGTTTGTAATCTATTTGT